ACTTATTTATCACAAGATACAAGTTGTGCTTTGACAATGAATGAAATCTAGAGGAATTAAATCAGAGCCACAGCAGCATCTAATCCTTCATGAAAATGATAGGAGATCCTCTTGATTTTTGATCACTTGTACTTCACCCCAAGATATTCAAAATGGGTGTTCAACCTTGCAAAGGAAAGCTCAACTCTCTTAACATTGGGTAAGGTGGATGTTTAACAAAACCTACATTTAATAACACATCTGATAAACTAGTAGAGGTTGTTTTCTCCAGAAAGTGAAAATGATGGAAATTTTTATCTGGCTTTAAAGGAAAAGGAAAGCTTCATGAAATATGTAGTAACCTCTGACCTGGTAAAGATGCACTGATGCCAGAAGTGTAGCAGGAGGTTTTGATGAGTTCACCTGAGCACAGCCCCTTCTGAAATGAAAGCACTAGACTGAAGTTTGAGAAGTGGTGACTAAATGTGTAGGCCAAAGGAGAGAAAGATTAGAATCTAACTGGAAGACAGATTCATTGTATTGTTCTGGAGAAGAGGGTGTAGAGGAATGTCTTACTTACTTTTTCTCATTGCTGATACAAAATAGATGACACCTAAAGTTAAGAGAGGAAAGTTTATTTTGTCCCATAATTTGTATAGGTTTTGGTCCATTGTTGGCCAGTTCTAAGGTGGCATGGCATGGCAGAGGGGAACCACAGAGAAGAAATGGCTCCTGACAGTCAGAAGACTGTGCCTATCTTTGAACTTTATCATGAGTAGGGCTCTCTTAATGCCAGCATCCTACACCCTAGATCCAGCCACCTCCAAAAAAGCTCACCTGTGTAATGCAGTACATCTTGAGGGAACATCTAGATACAAACCACAACATTCCACACCCAAAGACTCATGCACATCCCTTTATGCCAAGGGCACATAGTCCATCTCCTAAAAGTTGTCAAAGTTCTAACAGTTTCAGCATTACTGAAATGTCCAAATCTGAAGTCTCTTCTGAGAAATATAGCAGATTGTTATCTGTGAGCCCCAGCACAAATGCAAAGAAAGTTAAATGATTCGACATAAAATAGACATTTCTGTTCCAAAAAGTACAAAGAGGGAGATTGGAAGAAATGGGAACAAAGCAAGACCAAAATCCAGCATGACAAACATTGTCCCATAATTCCATGCCCAACATTGGAAGCAATCTACAGCAAGATGTGAACTCCAAAGGGCTTCGGTGGCTCCACTCCTATGGCACATCCTGTGGTTATAGCTCCTATGGCTTCTTTGGCCAGCTTTGCTCACTCACTGCAGTTTTTCTCAGATGATCCGCCCAACCTCCTGGCTGTTCATCCTTCTGGAGTCTACACTGCACTTTCAGTTTCATACTCACGGCTTTACACACTGCCCTCTCAGGGGAACACTGCCTGTTCTCCCTAACCTTCTCCAAAATCTTTGTGGGAACTTTCTTGGCCCTATAACTCTTACATTCTGCATGAACCTAAAACTGACACCACATATATGATGCCTGGATCACTAGCCAGGCTTCCTTTTCTCTTAGATGGACAGGTGGAGTATCTGAATTGTTGAGGACTAGGAACAAAATCCCAAGAAACAACTTCTCCAGGTTATCACCATTGTAGGTCATACTATCCTGGAGCTATCTTCTCAAAGCAAAGCCTTTACTTTTACAATGTTGAGGTCACAAAGGTGGAGTCCTGCTTATTCTTGTGATGTCCTCAGGCTATCTTTTCTCTGCTTCTGTTCTTTCTTAGCAATCAGGTTTTCCCCTTCTCCATCTTTGCAGTCTGTGATTTTACCAGTTTTCTTTCGGATCAGAATCACAATATTCTAAATCATTCTGCTGGGATTTTGGCTCTTGTTTCTCTTGCCTCAACGTGCCTATCAGTAGCTATGCCACCACCTCAACTTTAGACTACTTTAAAATTTCTTCTGCCAGATTAATTAATCTTCTGCCCTTAATCTCATTCTCAGGAAGTTTCTGGACAAGAACAAAATGCAGACAAACTTTCTGCTAAAGCATAGCATACATGGTCTAGAGTCCAACAACCAATGCAATCTTTCTTTGCAGCAGAAATCTCATGAGCCTTGTCTTTTTCTGATGCATTTCTATCACCATTTTGGTCTTCTGAGCTTTAATCAGAACCTCCTATTATGGACAGATTAAAGCATCACTGGGCTGTTTCTTTGGTCAGCACCTCCAAACCTTTCCAAACTCTTCCCCCAAGTCAGTGCCAAAGACTCCTGAACCATATGGTCAGATACAATCTGTCTTGTTATTCTTCTTTTTGTTGAGACAAAACACTTAACACTCAACGTTAAACAAGGAAAGATTTATTTAACTCATGGTTTTTAGAGTTTCAGACCACAGATGTTGTCTCCAAGACAAGAGTGGTATGGCAGAGGGGCATTACAGAAGACAAACAGTTCTTGGCAAGCACAAGCCACCAGAGCAATGAAGCAACAGCAGCAGCAACCAAGCCTACCTTTGTATTTCACCCAGACTATATGCCTTTTAGGTGATGCCACCCATACTCAGGGTAGAGCACTCTTAATGCCCGCATCGCTCCTAATCCCAGTTCATACACCCTAGACCCGGCCATCCCTGCAAAGCCCCACGTATGTGTTAGGTTTTGGGGGAAATCTAGACACAACCACAACAAGATGCTACCACAGGATTATTTGTGATGATGTCATTACTCCCACTGCCATTCACAGTGCAGTAATCAAGGCCATTTGCTTCCTGAGAAAGGGAAGGCACTGAAGCAATGTTTAGTAAACAAACACAAAAAGGAAAAACAATTCCACTTGTCTGCAATTTTTACCTTGCACCCAAAGTCCTGAATAAGCTCTGAGCACCGTGAGCAAAGGAGTTTAAGGAGTTTCCATTACAACTACAGATTTCTAAATAATATTTAATACCATGTACTTTGAACGTGAATTTCTGAGCCAAAGAAATTCAAAACATAGTCAATATATATTGAACATTTAAAGTTTTAAATTTATTATGGTAAAAGACACATTGTAATTAATTTTCCTTGGAATATTCCTCATGCACTTCAAAATATTTCATTGTTCTTGCAACTTTCTAAAGCAGTTTGGGAAGTTCATTTCTTATCTTCATAAGACGTGATAAAAATATGGTGACTGTAGCTGATGAGTGCTGTCCAATGGAAAGGGGGCTCATAAAGGCATGATGCTGGGTCCTCTTCCACTGGATCTGCCACAGTGACTTCTGCCTCTTCTCCACAGAAAGGGGTCATAGAACGTGTGTGCTTTGAAGTGAAGCCAAGATAATTCAAGCAAAGATATGAAGGAGGACTTCCAGAACTGCTAAAGTGGCAAGAATGATTGTATGTGTACTGCACTTGAAGGGGAGTTGGACTAATGACACTGCGTATTTCACTATATTTTTTATTATATAAATTTCCACTGCATTTTTCAATTATACATCGTAAGTGAGTTAGGTTGCTGGGAACAGAGAATTTGAATATGCTTTCCTGGTGACACGACTATGTCAAATTTTTCACACATATCTCTCAAGATCATAGATACAATTTTGTAATGATTCTGAAACCCAAAGATTCTCCAATTTTAAGCTTTCAATTAACTACTGCTTAAGGAATAGTCCTAGAGAGATAGAATGTTAACAGAGATGTGATCTTCATTCAGGACCCAAGTTATATTTGACCAGTAGACATCCAGGACGTTGTGACAGAATATACTGCAGCATAATGTGGAGGATTCAAATATGACAAGGGTAGAGTTTCCCTCCAGTCAAGTTCACATGTGCAGTGCACAGGGTGAGAAGACGACATTATGTGAGTACCAGGGATTGACCTCAGGACTCCATGCTTGCCAGGCAGGTGCTGTGCCACTGAGCTATAGCCCCAGCCCTGGGACCTAGGTGTTTTTATCCATAAGAAGTGAGCAGGATGGAAATGCACAGAGTGAGAAGATACCCAGGTGATTTGACTTGTGGCCCAAGCAGCCCTGTGGTATTGTGAAGTTGTGCCCCAATTCCTCAGGAATCTGTAGGACCTCAAGCCCTGCTACTTTCTTTGGTGAACTGAGGTTTTGCCACAAATTTACAGGTCAGTTCCTGCCAATAACAATTAGAACACTGAAAAACAAAATGTACTAAAAGAAATTTTATATGGGCTGAGAGTAATTTGACATATGAATTCTTAAACTTATAATGGAACAATCAAAATTGCACTAGCCATAACCAAAACCTTAAATAAAAAACAAATCATGTGCAGAAATGTTCTGTGCATATTTTCATAATCAAGGCAGTGAAAAATAAATGGTACAGCTGAAAGACAAAGGACACATAGATGTAATAGGCATGAGGGTTTAAAATGAACTTCACTTTACAGAAAAGTTGGGTTTGAAGTATGTAAGAGACTGTCTCTAGATGGACCCAACTTCATATTATGAATCTATTACAAAATGAATACATATGAATTTGGACAAAAATTATTTCACTCCTCTGGAGATTTTTTAACCTTAGAATGCAAAAGTCTGAAATCAAAAAGAATGCAAAGATTACTCTGAGGATTTATTAAGCTTATCAATAAATATAAATGTGCTTTCTTTTCACTGATGGTAAAGGGACTAAAATTCCATTGGGAAAACAATGAAAATATATAATTTACCTATATATTATACATTCTTGTCTCTCTTTCTCAAACCTATCCTCTCATTGTTATAGAAACATGGGCTAGGTCACAATGCTTACTACTGCATTAGAATATCCTGCTGAAATGGTGGGCTGAGAACACGAGGATGTGCTGTGATAGCCACAGGCCCTCCTGTTACAGACTTCACAAAAGGCCCTGGAGGCAGAAGAACTGGCATCTTCCAAAATTAAAAACAATCACAGACATCATGGAGACTTAGTTCATATTGAGCTTCTCATCTACAACCTTCTCTCGGGGGAAATTTCATGCATCAGTTTGTGTGCTTCCTCCCCTACTGCAGGAAGACTGGGGTTCTCATTACCATTCATCCTTGTCAGCATCACAATTGCAGAAGTGTCGGATATCCAGGCAACTCTCCTCCAGGCCACATTCACACTGCTGGACCCCAGGAAGAGAACCTCCCCAGTAAGGGTGCTTTTCATTGGCTCTCCCAATCCACCAGGTAAATGGGGCTCCATCTGAAAGACGAGACATTTCACAGGTCACAGGGGCAAGCTGAAATAGCAGCGGATTTCACACAAACTGAGATGCAATATCTTGAAAGCATTTATTCAAAACACTCTTCTTTCAAAAGAAATACTGTCTTCTTTCCTTTTTTTCCTTCCCTCCATCCCCTTTGCTCTTTTATTTCCTCCTTCTCTCCCTCCCTCTTTCACTTCTTTTCTCTCTCCACTCATTTCTTTCCGTATATCTATATATTTACACACATGCATGTATGCACAAATTAAACAGTACTCTCATGGATTATTTATGTCACTGAATATAGGTCAGGGACACAGTTCAGGGGCAGGGCCACAAACTCCAAGTTCCAAGGATCACAGATGAGTAAATCAGACTAGCTTTTGCACTAACAGCTACAACAAAAACAAATACGCATATAAAAATTTATCTCAGAGCTTTCAAGGCAACAACACCAACACAGCCAGAATGATCCTAATCTTTGTCCTCAGTGTCTGCTGGACAATGAGAAAGATGAAGACTAAGGTGTAGAGCAGAGTGCCGGCTCAGGACAGAAGAGTCCAATCTATATCCCACTGATTGTTGGCATGATTCGATCAGTGCTGGATAATGATATTTTCTGATATTTTATTTTTTTGAAAAAAAAAAAGAGAAGTCATGAAATTTCAAGTTTATATATTTGGGGAGAAAAGTAAACCATTTTAAAGACCCACAATGTGTGGGCCAAGAAAACCCTCCTGAAAGTCCTATTTACCTTGTACAAAGCTAATATGCTACCTGTCACAATTTACATAGTTAACAGAAAACTAGTTTTGAGTTTTCTTATTAAATGTTTTCTTTACAAAACTTAGTTTATTAAAGTCTTATTTACATTCCTTTTATGGTTAAGAATATTTCTGAATATGATTTCTAAAATGATCACTCAAAGAATGAGACTATGTCTATACTGAACGTATAGATAGACAAGGGCATGGCCTATGCTTTAAAGCTGAATGGTGATAGATGTGGGTTCACTTCTACGACTGTTATTTGTTTTATTGTTTGGTATATAGCATGATTATTTTGAAATTTAAAGACATTTAATTAGAAATATTTCTTATGATTTACCATTTTAAAGTAAAATAATTAATCAGTAGTTGTCCAGAGATAGTATAAGGTTGGAATTTTGCCCGACCAGGACCTTATTATAGGTCCAAATTATTTAAAACAATACCTACATACAAATAGCACTAATTTTCTCTGAATCATGTCCTCTGTCAAAGCCACCGCGGTAAGGAAGAAAGAAAAGACAATTGGGAGTTTTCAAAAATTTGTAGGTCATGAGAAGAACATGATGAAGGTTCTATGAAAAGCGTAGTTATTTTAGGGATGCTTCTTGACATAGCAGACAGGCTGAAAGTCTAATCTCACTCCTGCTTACCACTGCCACTACCTAAAATAGCCCACATCCCTTTGTTATCTTCCAAGCTAGAAATCTTATTACAGATGTTTGTTAACCAGTGTCTTGTTCAGAATGATGCTACAAATTCATGACTTTGGTTTCAAATAATAATAATAATAATAATAATAAATCACTGTTGAAAACTTCAAGTGAATTTCTTTCTTCCTGAGTCATGATTCAGGCGAGCTGTACTCTGGAGATGGAGAGGGGTGATGGGTTGTTTAATACACACAGTACTTTCAGCACTGTGTTTAAGTGGTCATGCCAGACTGTGAGTCTTCGTAACACAGGGTAAAGAAAGTGATTATCATTTGCATACATTTACGACTGTTGGCCTTGGGTCTGAGAATGGGACTAAATCTGGCAACATCTTTCTCCTGCAGCAGCATTAGGGATTCTCATCCTACAGCATAGGAAATAGTTCACACCATCAAGCTGCGTACTTATTTTTGTTCATACTCAACCCTAATGCTGTGAGCACAACACCAGCATGATTACTAATGACATCAGTTCTGGACAAACAATCTGTAGACAACTTCTGGTGGATACATTGCTCCTAGAAGTTTTACCAGTTCTCATTTTCTCATTCGGCGTGTAATCCATCTGGGATTTCAGAGGTCAAGTTTTTAGCAAGGAAACATTATTTCCATATACAACCCCAGGAGACAGGGACTTGTATGTGAGGACTTTTACAACAGAGCCCTGAGAAAACGTGGGATTTCAGAATTTCAGGAGAACACATCAGGACTTCTCTATGCTTTTCTTCTTGCCCCTCGCAGGGGGATGTGGTTTGGCCAGCTGCTGTGATGGCCTTCACATCACCTCCCTTCACTCTTCCTCATAACTCTAATGGACTAGGACAACTTCCTTAAGTGTCCTTCTTGGCCATTGTCCCTCTCCTTCCCAACATGAGTACAGCCAGGCTGCCAGTGTGGCAACCTCCCTGAAACCACTATTGTAGCTTTCTCAGGGCTCTGTGCTCATGTCAGGGACTTAGGCATCTGGGCTCCTTACTTACATACCCAACCCTCACAGAAACCATTCTAGGACATTCCCTGCTTTCACCCATATCCCTCATGGACACAGGCTTGCAGCTGCTATATAAGCAGCTCCACCAGTCACTTCGTGGATTAGTTTAGGAGGGAGGGCTCCCTCCCATGGTGGGGCTCCACTGTGGTACAGGACAGGGCCTGCTAAAATAGACCTCACTTTGGTGATCTTGTAAACAGAGTCACGAATTATTTCTCTTCTTGTAAAATGGACACAAGATCCTATAAATCTACTTGGGATATTTATCCTGTGGCCAGAGAGGTTGTTTCAAACCAAAGAATAATAAACATTCAACCTTCATCACTGAACAGCTGCAGAAACCAACAGCCAATGAAGACTAGTGGCCACAGTGGCGTAGACTATCACCTGGTAAAAGTGATCAGTTGTGCTCTACACAAGCCTTCATCCAGGGTGACAGCCAGCAGAAGGAACGCCGGCAGTGGGCTTGTCAACGTCTGTACCCAGGATTATATTGTGTCATTCATACTGCTAGCAGAGCTGCCCTATGCTGAGCTACAATTTTCATCTACATCTAGCAAAAGGACCCTAAGCCAACCTAAAATAAATGCACAGGATATAGAAAAGACACTTGTGGAGGTTCATTAATATTTAACAATTTCATGCTTTGGAATCTATTGTTATGTGACTTCATGCATAAAATCTAAGCTGGAACTCTTCCATTCCCCTTAGTAAGGATACTCCTGAAGAGTACTGGCCTTAGAGTGTGCCCAGTAAACCACCATAGAGTGTGACTGTTTTTTACTTGCATCCTATTTATATATCACAAAAGCAAAGATCAGTCAAACTTCCTACATGGGAAACAGTGAAAACAGGGAACATTACCCAGTATGCTCTATGCCATCACAGTGCTCTGAAATGTTCCACATGAATTCATCTCTTTCATCATTTAATCCTCTGAACCCTGACAGGGAGTTATAATTATTCCCCACTTAATATTAAAGAAAATGAAGGGAAGAAAGGTGAAAGAGCCACCTCAAAGCCACATGACTGAAAGTCCAGGATTGAAATTTGAAAAGAAGCAGATCAAGACCTAATGGGTTAAACTTGGTATTGTACCACTGTTTTCTGGTTTCAGGAAAAAAACATATGGGCTTTCAGCAAAATGTATATGGATGGATTTAATTTATGAAAAATAAGCAGGGAAATTTTATGTGGCAATTTCTTACATTCACTAAAATAATGACAATGTAATTAGTAAACATCTCTGACCTAGCACACATTCACATAATAATAATCCAAAGAAGAATATAATGCTAGTATTCTGTGCAAGGATATTTTTCAGAATCTCCTCACTCCAATCTTCAAGGAATGATGCTGACAAGTTTGACCTGTCTGCGCATGAGAAGCACTGCTCCATTTTCTTTGATGTAAATAACAAGACTTCATTTTACTTTATGGCTAAATAATGCTCCATTGTGTTGTTTATCATATTATTTTATGCTGTCATCTGTTGATGGAACTAGGTTGACTCTAAACTTAGCTTTTGTGAATAGTACCAAAATGAAAATAGACATGCAGGTATCTCTTTTGTATGCTGATTTCTTCCCTGTTGGATGTGCACTCAAAGTGTGATAGCTGGATAATAAGTTAGAGCTACATATTAAGTTATTTGAAATAACCCAGACACAAAAAGAAAAGTATACAAGTTCTTTCTAAAATGTGGAAGCTAAACTAAAGTCAACTCAGTGCCAAACAGTAATTAACAGGATGTGAAGGATATTTGAGTCAGGAATAGAGGGTAAAGATAGTAGGATTTGAATGGTGCATGCTGTATCTCTGCATGGAAATATTACATTGGAATCCATTAATATATATAATCAATATATGTAATCAAAAATAAGAAAGTCAAAATAATAAGGAAACCCCCAAATTTTAATGCTTCTTTTACTTAATTTTCATGTTTATTTCCTAGGACACAAATTGTCCCCTGAATTTTAAAGTGACTACAGTATTTGACAAATGAGTTAAAAGAGAATATTTACAATACCATTATTTAACCCACACAGCATAGCATACTGCACGTGAGCAGTAACCACAGATTTGTCTATAAACATCAGTGTCAGACAACTTCCTTCAGCTCATTTCAACCCAAAGATGTTCTTTCCCTCCTGCTCACTGCAGGGACAAAATCCAAAGATCTGTGCATCACTGTTGCTACTGCTACAATTATCTCTATGCTGTGGTTTCCATTTAGATGCCCAACCATAGGTTCTTTAAATGTATTTTTAATAAAATTATGTACTACAAACCCAGAAAAGTGCGCTTAAATATGAGCCAAAGGAAAATAGAAATATACTTAAAGCTACATATTGTAAAATATAGAAGGAATTCAAATTTTGGATAGAATTGTGAGTGAGAGAGATAAGGAGCAGGAGGAGGAGAAAGAGAAATAAGAGGAAAAGAAGGAAAAGGAGGAGGAGGGACGAGAGGAGAAGGCTTTATTACATCTTCACTTATTTCTCTTATAGGAGAAGAGGAGAAACCAAA